AGACAAGTTTGAGATCATAAGACCTGCTGAGAAATGCATGAATGGTATGAGGAGTGACCACATCTATGACGACATCTTCATCTTCGTTGTCATTGGAAACTCTGGCAGGAGTTCTGTCTTCATCTTCGATATCAAACTCTGATTCTCTTTCCTCGTATTCAACGTTTTCGTCTAATTCTTTGAAATCGGGCGCAAATGCCGACCAATTCTCGACCTGCGGTTGAGCCCAAACAGAGACCACTCCACTCGATATACTCGCGATTATGGGACGAATCGGATGCCACTGTCGACACAATGGGTGCACAACGGATGAGTTAATGCTTCAATAGATTTGCTGGTATTTGTATTGAATATAAACTTACGACAACATCGAGAAGCAGTTCCCCTTTAGTTCCGTGTAATATCTTCACTAAATTGCCGACATTTCGTTCCCATATATAGAGCGCGTGCTGTCGAGCAGAACCGGCGCAGATGTACTCAGCGTCCGGACCGCCAGAGAAGCAACACTTCTTCCACATCGTCTTATTGACCAAATCCTGGAGCTTCTGAATCGGTTCCGGTTCACCATTTTTGCCACAACACAGCACTTCTTCTGTCTCGTAGACCCGAATGACACGATCGCCAGTACTCACCAGAAATATGTCCTTTTTTCGGGGCGCGAACTCTATCTGTTTGATGGCAGAGGCGGACACACGAAACGATGCGATGACAGTCAATGTCGTGATATTGGCACCAATTTTCACCACAAGTATCCTTCCCCTCGCATTCCCGGTGTATATGTATTGACCTCTTCTGTCAAAAGAGGCCACAATATTGAGATCTGTGTCGTCGTCGAGCGGAACCATTACGTGACTCTTTGTCGGAACTGATGACACAAACAATGTGTTAAATTAAATGTCAAACAAATAAATATCAAATCGATTGTAACCTTCTTTATGAGGAATGAAGACAACAATAGCCGCGTGTTTTAGGGGACAAATTAAGATCATTTTGTCGTTTCTGGGATTGAATTGCACTCGAAGTATGGGTGAGAAGAATCGCCACCGAAGAACACATTCACTCGTCAACACATCCCATACGCAGACAGTGTTGTCAGTGGAAGCGCTCACCAGTTTGTGGCCATTTCGGGACCAACTGTAACGAGAGATCAATCAATGTGTGAGTGAATCAAGTGGTGGACATGTGGTGAGTGAACAGACCTAAGGGAACAGACGGGATGGACATGAGCTGAGATGATTTTGGCCATTCCTCTGGTGAGGAAGTCCCAGATGACAATCCGGCCGTCATTGCAGCCGACGGCCAGACAAGTGCCTCTTCGGTTGAAACTACACGTCAGCGCCAATGAGATGCAGTCGAGGGCGCCGTCAAACTCTTCGGGATAATTCTGGCCGAAGTGTTCCAATAGTTCCAAATTCATGGCCAAAAGCGATGATAATATGGATTCAAAACAAACACTGAATGCAAACCAATGATCGCTTCAAATGTTTCCCACTTTGCCTTCATTTGTGGCTAACATTTGGCTCTCATTTCAAATGCATTCAAAAACTTTACACACTTTGCACTCAATTATTGTTAATTATTGACTAATTTATGATTTAATTATCAATTATATGATTAAATTTATTAAAAGTGGTAAAATTATTAATCTTTTATTTCTTGTAAACTAATTTGAAGACTGATTAACAATTAATTAAAAGTTATTTAATAATCAAGTGTTGCCCTAAAGAGCGTTACTTTTGGTTGCATTGAATTGAAGTTTAAATGTTGTCAACAAAACGTGTTGTCAACACATGTCTCAACTTTTGTTGCATTCATTTGATGTGATTATTGTTTGATATTTTGTTAATTAAGATCTAATTGTCATCGATTTGGGACATGTCTGAAGACATCATCAATGGTGAGGCCTTAGATCAAGGGTGGGATCAGTTCGCGAAGTTTACGCTCGCATTGAAGACCAAACTTAAAGCGATCGACAATTGGGACGAAAATGTGTTCATTAATGGATTCAATGCATTGAAAGACAACAGAAATCGCATTGAATTTTGTCTCACAAATAGTCATGTCTTGGAAGCGATTAAACAATTATACGAAGACATGATTCAATGCAACGAAAATCACGGCAAAGATCTCAAGAAATCAATTGATTTGAGAGAAAAAGGAAACGAGTGTTTCAGAAGCGGTCGCTTTTCTCAAGCCATTCAACACTTCTCGGAAGCGATCCGTTTGTCTCCGATTCCTTCAGAAGGCAGTCCTCCCGACGAATGGAATCAATTGTCGGTGACATTTGCCGATCGCTCGCAAGTGATGTTCAGACTTGAAGAATACGAATCCTGTTTGGAAGACATCGAAGACTCCATTCGTTACAATTGTGGTGATGAGAGAAGACATGAACTTTTGTTACGAAAAGCCAAATGTTTGACATCTCTCGAGAAGAAGGAATCAGCGCTGGAAGTGATAAATAGTTTAAGACGTGATATGACTGATAATAAATGCGCTAATGTTGAAGAAGTGGGACAAGAATTGCAGAAATTAATGATTGAATTAAGTTTAGAGTCAAAAGAGACAAATGCAGAGAATTCAGAAGATTGCGAACCAATGGACGATAATTCGGACGATAAGATCGATATTTCAAATGCATTGCTGAAGAATGCGTCCGATTTAATAGCATTGTCTTATACGGAACCAAAGGGCAGATTCATTACCGCTAATAAAGATATTAAATTTGGTGACACTCTTATTGTGGAGAAACCGTTTGCCACATATCTCTATGAAGACAAATACGATTCTTACTGTCACTACTGTTTCACTTCGTTAGACAATCGATTTGTTCCCTGTTTTGGTTGCAATCAAATGATATTCTGTAGCGATTACTGTCGTCAAACCTCATGGACTGAATACCATTCATCTGAATGCAAGGCACTATTCTTTCTCTCCAAAGAGATGGGAATTTCATATATAGTTTTGAGAATTTTATTGAGAACTGGTATAAGAGATGCNGGACATGTGGTGAGTGAACAGACCTGAGGGAACAGACGGGATGGACATGAGCTGAGATGATTTTGGCCATTCCTCTGGTGAGGAAGTCCCAGATGACAATCCGGCCGTCATTGCAGCCGACGGCCAGACAAGTGCCTCTTCGGTTGAAACTACACGTCAGCGCCAATGAGATGCAGTCGAGGGCGCCGTCAAACTCTTCGGGATAATTCTGGCCGAAGTGTTCCAATAGTTCCAAATTCATGGCCAAAAGCGATGATAATATGGATTCAAAACAAACACTGAATGCAAACCAATGATCGCTTCAAATGTTTCCCACTTTGCCTTCATTTGTGGCTAACATTTGGCTCTCATTTCAAATGCATTCAAAACTTTACACACTTTGCACTCAATTATTGTTAATTATAAACTAATTTATGATTTAATTATCAATTATATGATTAAATTTACTAAAAGTGGTAAAATTATTAATCTTTTATTTCTTGTAAACTAATTTGAATACTGATTAATAATTAAAAGTTATTTAATAGTCAATAAGTGTTGCCCTAAAGAGCGTTACTTTTGGTTGCATTGAATGCAACATTGAATTGAAGTTTAAATGTTGTCAACAAAAGTGTTGTCAACACATGTCTTCACTTTTGCCGCATTCATGTCATAATTGTTGGATATTTTGTTAATTCAGATCTAATTATCTAAGATTTGGGACATGTCTGAGGATATCATGAATAGTGAGGCCTTAGATCAAGGATGGGATCAGTTCGCGAAGTTTACGACGGCGTTGAAGACCAAACTTAAAGCGATCGACAATTGGGACGAAAATGTGTTCATCAATGGATTCAATGCATTGAAAGACAACAGAAATCGCATTGAATTTTGTCTGAGAAATAGTCATGTCTTGGAAGCGATTAAACAATTATACGAAGACATGATTCAAAGCAACGAAAATCACGGCAAAGATCTCAAGAAATCAATTGAATTGAGAGAAAAAGGAAACGAGTGTTTCAGAAGCGGTCGCTTTTCTCAAGCCATTCAACACTTCTCGGAAGCGATCCGTTTGTCTCCCATTCCTTCAGAAGGCAGTCCTCCCGAAGAATGGACCCAATTGTCGGTGACATTTGCCGATCGCTCGCAAGTGATGTTCAGAGTTGAAGAATACGAATCCTGTTTGGAAGACATCGAAGACTCCATTCGTTACAATTGTGGTGATGAGAGAAGACATGAACTTTTGTTACGAAAAGCAAAATGTTTGACATCTCTGGAGAAGAAGGAATCAGCGCTGGAAGTGATAAATAGTTTAAGACGTGATATGACTGATAATAAATGCGCTAATGTTGAAGAAGTGGGACAAGAATTGCAGAAATTAATGATTGAATTAAGTTTAGAGTCAAAAGAGACAAATGCAGAGAATTCAGAAGATTGTGAACCAATGGACGATAATTCGGACGATAAGATCGATAATTCAAATCCATTGCTGAAGAATGCGTCCGATTTAATAGCATTGTCTTACACGGAACCAAAGGGCAGATTCATTAACGCTAATAAAGATATTAAATTTGGTGACACTCTTATTGTGGAGAAACCGTTTGCCACATATCTCTATGAAGACAAATACGATTCTTACTGTCACTACTGTTTCACTTCATTAGACAATCGATTTTTTCCCTGTTTTGGTTGCAATCAAATGATATTCTGTAGCGATTCCTGTCGTCAAACCTCATGGACTGAATACCATTCATCTGAATGCAAGACATTATTCTTTCTCTCCAAAGAGATGGGAATTTCATATATAGTTTTGAGAATTTTATTGAGAACTGGTATAAGAGATGCCATCAAAATATCGACAGAATTATCTCCAAACTTAAGTAATTCCAGCGATTCTAGCGTTTTATATTCCGGCGATTATTCTTCAGTGTATCAATTGCTTGACCACCAAAATGATCATAATTTAGATTCAATGCTTAGCTATTGTTTGACTTCGGTTTTCACGCTTATTGCGCTCGAAAAGAGTTTACATATCAATAATAAAGACATGGATTACATTGGTTTGGGAGCCATTATCTTCAAACACATCCAACAGTTGTCCACCAATTTGATCAGTGTTTTGGAACAGGATTTTGGCGATGAAATCAATAAATTTGGTTTTGATGTCGACGAAGATATCATAGGAACCGCTTTATATCCGACAATATGTTTACTCAATCATAGCTGCGATCCAAACATATTGACACTTTTTAGTGGAACTCAAATGACTGTTAAATCTGCGAGAAGTATAAAGAGTGGCGAAGAAANTAGCTGCGATCCAAACATATTGACACTTTTTAGTGGAACTCAAATGACTGTTAAATCTGCGAGAAGTATAAAGAGTGGCGAAGAAATCAATTACTGTTACGGACCTAACTATCAAAGAATGTCCCGAAGAGACAGACAAACGAAATTAAAAAGTCAATACTATTTTGACTGTGAGTGCAATGAATGCGCTTCGGGTGCGGAGAACCTGACCCGAGCCTTACTGTGCCTTCAATGCAATGGAGCCGTCGTTCACAACGAAGACTTTACCAGCGAATGCCTCAACTGTAAGAGCTCTGCATTAGATGTCCGCAAAGCCATCGAGAATATAGAGTTAGGTTTGAAATATTCGTCAAAAGGCGTCGATTTATTAACGGACAAGAAATTAAGCGAAGCGTTGATTAATTTGCATAAAGGCGATGAATTGCTTACTTATAATCTCTACATTCAGAACAGATTGTTATGTAAGAGTAAGGATGACCTCTGCCGGTGCTATGTATCGATGGGCCACTTCGATAGAGCCGTCAGATATTGTGAACAGAGTGTGAAAATAACTTCATTGATATTTAAAGAGCAAAGCACTGAACTATTGTTGGAATTAATGAAATTAATAAGTCTTAAGTGGGAAGTGGTCGACGAGA